TTATCGTTACCGGTAGCAATACAGACCTCATTCCAGTTCTCTAGTCAAGCGAAAATTTGGGGTTTATTCAAGCTGAATCCATTTTTATGTAAACCCGAACATTAGTGGTCTGTGGATTTTATGCAAACTATTATTTATAATAGAATAAGGTGAGAATTGGTTTGGCAGTGGAGGGAATTTGTGAGATAGACACATGTTAGTAGTAAAGAGTGTTACGGTAACCTATTTGGCATATCAGAGAGTACAATCAAAACGGCTGTTGATATTTTAAAGAAGTTCCCCAAAAACACCCTCTCGAAAGTTAGTTTTATCAACTTTTAGAAAGCTAGAACTGTTCAACCATACGAATTAAGAAACCGGATGTTTTAGTTCGTAGTATAGGCGTCTTTATTTAGCTTAAAGAACTTGAAGTAAGAAATAGGTGTGGTTAGCTTATTTGAAGGAAACTGTTGTGTGCATGGTTAAGTCGATTTCCTCGTTTATCATATTTAAACATGCTAAGCTCTAATTTTAAGCAATACTGAATTGAAAGCGTCTCTGAGAGCGGTTAAGGAATTAAAATGATCCCTGTTTTATTACAAATAAATCTGGGCTATTCCGAATATAAAAATACCCTCTGATTAGCCTAGAGTCAAAAGATCGAAATTTCCCAGTTAACCCACTTCAGTGCTAGAGTAATCCGAAAAGCGGTCTTAAACATTAAAGAAAATTTAGTACCGTTACATTAGAAGTCTTTGAATACGCCCAAAAGTGCAGTTGTACATTTATACGATAAAGGCATTTTGAAACTGATGAAATTTGCATAATTCTGAATTTTTTATGATTCACTTTCAATGTCACTAATTGGAAATAATAAAAACGTTCAAGAGACTGCTTACTGGTTTGTTGTCACTGAATTTAAAGTGACGCCTAATAGAAAGTCAAAGCTCTCCTTCAGAAGCTGCTCACGGGATGTAAATAAATTCAAATTCTTCCAATCAAGGAACCTGTGGTAGTGCCAAATTAAGCTTCAAACAGGTTAAATTAAAGAAGGCTTCAGATGTCGAGCCCAATGCTCGAATGTGGGCGCAAAGAGGCTGTCGAACAAGTTTTAAATTTTGCCCATAGATGTATTGTGAATTCTGTCTTGCTTTGAAGGCGATAAGAAAAGTTTTACAGTTAACGTGGTCACGGCGATAGAACAAAAACTCCGAGGCCGATACACCGCCAGAGGTATGTTCTGTGTTGAGAGTCACACGCTGAACGCAGACCTCTTACAGAATCACTGACGTTTTTGCTAAGATATGTCTTTGTAAATTGTGGTGAGTTGCTGTACTCTTCTCCAATGCTGCGCTTGAACAGTGTAGTAATCACAGGAGAAGCCGAGAAGATTCTCAACACGTAGCGATTTGCGATTTATTTGCACAGCCATAAGAACTACACACGGAATGCTCCAATGGATGTTAACACACAAGAAAGGGGAACATAATTATAGGGGCGAAGGAGATGATGGAGATAATGCATCTACTTCCATCGCAAAAATTAACCTCATCTTCAAGTGAGGTGGGATAAAAATCGATTCGATGAAAAACCCACGTATTTAGCACCTAAAGTCAGTTAGTGGGATTCCTCAAATAAAATTTTGGACCTCTCCATTTTAATATTTGCGCCAAATCATGTTTCCAAACTATGTTCTGCCAGTGAAGCGTAGGCTGTAAAAATATTCACTGGTGATTTATGAAATAGTGGTCATAACTACGCAAATTTGGAATAAATTATCTCAAGTCCCAACGCGACTAAACGTGGGGAAATTTGTTTTGGAATCCAACGAGAATGGCTGCCTCAACCAGCCCTCAACTATCACCGTTCCCACCCTCACATGAACGCGTGTAAGTCAGTCGACAACGGCCGTGAAACTGCAAGTAATATTTCCAAAGTAACCGTTTCCTGTTTGCTTGTTTGCGATAAAATCAGCTGTCTTTTCTGCCACTCCACTGACGCTATCGAATTGCTCTCGTGTTCCAGGCCTGATTAAACGTTTTTTGCTTCTAAAACGGTACCTTTCTTCTTATTCAGAGGGCGGAATTTGCGCCTGGTATTCACATTTTTCTCAATCGTTAGAAGAACATTTAATGCACACTCGCCCGGCTATCGGAGAGGTTTACCGACACAATCAGATGGTTCTGCGCCATAAAATTAATGGACGTTTAGACCTAACACATTTAGGCCGGACAATGTTGGTGAAAATAATGGTTTGTGATGGTGTTGAAAGAGTTCATTCGTTCAAGACAACGAATAACACTAGTTTTGTGTTCACAGTAAAAGTTTCTCTTCTGTGACTTTTTTAGCGAAGGATACTCAGCCCGAAATGCAGAGTATGTCGTTTCCCGGGAATTTCTTCCGCTCCACATTTTTCGCCAATTAGCAGCAACCCCTAGGACTTTTTCAGCTAATTTTTGGTTTTTTTATAACCTCTCTTTAAGGAGAGCCCTATTCACGGTTTTTTTACTAAATGCCGTTTACGACGAAAACGGAAGTAGATGTGGCAAGAGCGTGGATGCGTAGGTGTTCGTGCACCGGAATAGGTTATGGAAGATGGTAAGACAAAGTCCACGACTGTGAGGACAGCCACGGACATACCAGCAATGGTACTGATGCATTACAAACAGGAGAATATTCGGTTGGTCCCCGGAAGAGAATTGACAGGGGTAGGAGAAAAACGTAAGCAACAATGTAGTGCCACCAGAAGCTGCAGTAACATCATTGACACGAAAGATGGTTCTAAGGGTTACGGGTGAAATCTATGGCCCTAAGTTTGCATTTTATCAAGATAAAAACAAGTTGAAATGCGCTTAAAACGTGTGTAAATGTTTTTCGAGACTCCAACGTTAAAAAATATATCAAAATTTTGATTACGAATTAAGTGCAAAATTTGTTCAGTTCGTCACTTTTATAATGGATGTTTGTTATATTCACGAATGTTTTTCACAAACAAACTGACAATGCGTTAAATCTAGCCCGAAGAATGGTGTTACGAAGTGATTAAATCTCCCACGGCAAAAATGTACTTTTTTGGAAAGTATCTGTGCTGGAGTTACGTTTCTTTTGCCAACGTGGTAATCACACTCATGATGTACAATGTATCCTAGAAATCATTAATAATCACCATGACTAAATGCCGACTTTAATCGATTGAGGAAAAGAAACTTCACTCTACTTCTAGATTGGTTAATTCAACTGAACATGAAAATTTGTCAAAATACATAAGTTGTTTTTCCTAAGCACGATAGAGAATGATTAGTCTGACCCGAAAAGCATGCACGTTTAACTCTCAGTCTTTTTAAAATTCTATTTTCGCCAAACTGAATATCATTTTTGTCAGGCTTTAAGAAAGGAGAGTGCGCTTACAATATTCAGCTTATAAAAACCCAAAACTAAAGGCAACTAAGTTCATACATTGCAAACACATTTGTAACGTTAATTTTCGAAGAAAACCACATACGGCGTTTTAGGTAACTGGTCTACAATACAACTTTTGAAAATTTTGGAATGAATATTTTTGTAATCACTATTTGTTTTAGCAAACTGCATGATAGTCAGAGTGTAGAACTTGCAGTGATAGGAGGATGATCTCAGAGGCGTAGCTCGTTAATTTCGCCTTAAATAAAACTTTTTGGTCAAAATTTGACCTACCACATCAGATTTTTTTCTTTGGTAGATTGATCAGTGACAGGAATCAACGAAATATATAAACAATCGGGTAGGTTGGATTCACAAAAACGTATGTTTTTGAATTCCTGGAGGCCAATGTCTGATTCCACTTTAGTTTTTTAATCGAAATGATTTGTACCACTTTGGTGGATTATGGGAAGGAAATGTTTTGTTAGGCTGAACGAGTAGGAATCATAATTTCAAAGCAAGCAAAAATGACCTTAGTTTAAGGACCAATATTTGCTTCTTAGGGCAAAGGTTTATCATTACAAACTTCAGGGATAAAGTCCCTTCTAGAGAGAGAATGATGCGATCAAGCTGACGAACTAAGACGTAAATTCGTGATACACTTGTCGATTACATATACCTTAGGCCTATGGGGTGAGTCCAATTTAGACTAGAATCATTTCACTAATTATTTACTGGGAAACTAGGCCCGTTAGGTGGTGGTATTGCTCTCATTCCAAGTGTAGGAAGCTTCCCACAAGTGAGTTACCCTAATGAAGGTGACGAAGCTGGCAATGATAACAAGAATGCATTCCGGGAAATAAGTTTCAACCATGTGACTATAATCTATTTTAACATAAGCGAAGACGAAGTACTAAAACAGAAGTAAAAATATTTATACCCTTGTGTGACTAAAGTGGGTTGGATTACAGATAAAACGGAATTTCTGATACCGAAAAAATTCATGTACGAACAAAGTAATTAGTGACTACGTAGACGCAATAATAATGACTCATTCTGGCCACAAGGCTTTTTAACATCGTGGTACAGTGGTTGAGAGGAATTAACAGTAGCACAGAACGTGCAGGCGCCATCTCATATGGCCGAATAGTTTTAGGGAAACAACTTGAAGTACCAACCGGCAATTGAGTGAAGCCTTCTCAACCTCTATCGTTCATTTCACTAGCAGTACCTTTGATAACAATAGCCCGGCTCTCTTGGTGGCAATTAATTACCTGGTCTAGGAAACCGGAATAACAATAAAGGCACTAGCCAGAGCGAAAGATACTTGCTCCACAAAACCAATTGAACCTCCGTCTTGACAATGGGACATAAACGCGAAGTTATTCACCCGTATCTAACGGAAGTCGTGGAGACTTGCAAAGCTGCTTTATGCAAGATCAAATTTACTTATTTATTCAAGGCGAACCTAATCAGGATTTCTTTACATTTTCACTGTGAATGGCGCATTCGACGATGCAAATGTAGGACGCGGGCTTGTGGTGTTTTGCCGTGAAAAAACGGCCTAAATTGCGCATAAAACGTGCCCAGAAAGAAATGCTTCACACTTGAATGAATAACAGTCACCCAGTGTCGCGTGTGAGAGGCTTATCTAGTCGCGAGTCACTCATAAAAGCAGAGCAATGCACCTAAAAAAGCCAGACTTTAGGGGAAAAATACCAGCTTAAGGAAGTATTAGAAACAAATGCGAAACTCACCGGAAGCTTGGAGACATGGCCTTCCTCGATGGAAAATTCGTAGGACTGTTGATCGAATTCGGGAGTGCAGTCATTCGAGTCTTCGATGAGGACAATAACTTCGGCCGTAGCGGTATTGACTTTGCCCATGCACGAACTGCCATTTCCTCCAGCACAATCAACGCCTTCCACAGTGAAGTTGATTGATGCCATCGCCTCGCGATCAAAAACTGCCCCACTCCTAATTTGACCGGTTTTCTCGTCAAGCATTATTAGCTGGTCATGGTTTGATTGCTGATCACCGATGACAAGACGATAGCGCACCTCAGCCATGCTGCCCGTGTCAGCGTCGACTGCGTGGATTTTTACGATTGGTGTGTGAACCGGGAGACCTTCCATTATCCGGGCATAGTAGAGGCTCTTATCGAAGACAGGTGGGGAGTCGTTGACGTCTTCTAGACGCACGGTCAGGTGTTGCTTGGTTGAGAGGACGGGTTGCCCGGTGTCGTGACACAAGATATCGATTCTATGAGTGCTTTTAGCTTCGCGGTCAAGTGGCTTAGAAGTAACCACTTTGAAAAAATTCCGCATTCCTGTATGTAAAGGCTGGACCGAGAAGAAGGTGTTGGCGGTGGAGCAATACGGCAAAGAAGCGCGGTTTTGGAATGTGCCGTCTTGCGCACCTCGTTCGTCTGCATCGGTCATGGTTATAGTCGCCACTAACGTCCCCACTGGTGCGTCTTCCAGGAGATAAAACTCGCCTTTTGACAGGGATGGTTGCAAGGGTGATTGAATGGAAATTGTGGGTGGGTTGTCGTTGACATTAAGGACTCGAATTCGCAGCTTTGTTTCGGCGATGTGAGCCTGATCGGAGACCTCAATTGGAATTACATAACCATACTCCATGGAGGACGTCAATGGTGAACTGAAAAGGGAATCTTTTGGCTCTTTACTTGGCAGAATCGGTGCTGACTCGTAATCCAGGTCACCAGTCACGACTACTGAGCCAGTTCGACTGTCTATGCTGAACAGTCGCTGGACCTCTGCTGAGGCTGTTGAACCCATTCGATATTCCAGGCGGTTCGCATCCGAAGGGTCGTCATCCAATGCCACGACCGTATAAATCTGAGTGCCAACCGATGTGTTCTCAGCGATTTCTAGCGAGGGGTTCGGTTGGCGGAAGTACGGGGTATGGTCATTAATGTCGGTGATTTGAACAACCACGCTAAGACTTCCTGTCAATTGTGGTGACCCGCCGTCAATGGCGATGAGCAGGAATTGGTACACTGACTTTTTCTCGCGGTCCAGGTCTGCTTTTACTTTTAGTCCCAAGGAAATTTTGAATGGAGCTCCAGAGGAACGTTCAAAAAGCTCACTAGAGAGCTCAAATGCGTCGCTTGCGAGAACGCGAACCGAGGAATCATAATCATTCGACTCGCTGGGAATAAGGCGGTAGCTTTGAACGGTGTGGTCAGGACCGTGGTCGGGATCTATGGCCTCTGGAAGCTGAAATTTCCTACCAATCGCGGTATGCTCTGGAATTTCTAACTCAAGCTTATCCAGAGACCAGCCTGGTGGATTGTCATTTAAATCGTTGACGTAAACAATAACCTGGATAAGCGGATGTTCCTGAGATCGGTGTGAGGGCAAATTCCGCTGTCTCTGATCCATAACTAGCATTATGATAGCACAGCCTGGGTCCTGCACACTGGATAAGTGAGAGAGGAGGTTATCATGGAATGTGAATGTCGAAGGTGGAGGCACATTTTGACCAGGGCAACAGGAGCCAGTTTCTTTGCAGAGATTCTCTCGGTCGATTCTTCGCCTCACAGTAAGCAGGCCAGTGGTCCGATTGATACTAATCAACTGCTCGTCGGTCAGAGGAACAAAATTCACTCCACCATTTATCGGCAAGTTGAAATCAACCGCGAGTTTTTCTGTTAGACTGCCGATTCGTGCACCTATAGGTAATTCTTCGTCGATGATGAAGGCAAGCGTTGTCTTCTGTACATTGTCACAACTGACTTTGGCTGGGAAGGTGGTGAAAAGGGCGAGGACGAAGAGAACGGAGAATGCTTCAGAGGGCATATCATCCGTCGTGAGCGGCCCGCGTGCGAAGCCAAAGGAAATGGTGTGTGGGAACGAGCGCACACGCTTGGCTGATTAGCGGTCAGATGCGCGCAAACAAGTGCGGCTGTGCTACCCGCATGCACAACGCATCAAGATGTCAATGCGCACTTGCACGAGCGCGCATGCACGTGATAGGTACTGACGCACTTATTAATGTGCGCTCACATCCAGTCTGTGGACGAAGATGACGACCAGCCTCGTCTCATGCCTCGGCGGGGCTTGAGCTCTCGACACGCTTGCATTCCTAGTGCCTCACACAGTAGTAAAGCCAGGAGGCACAACGTTACTGCATAGGAGTGCCTTAAAATACAATCAATTTATTCTGTTGAACAAATAGGAACGGAAAACAAGTGAAGACTATTTTTGTAGAAATTTATTAAGTCCTATTTTTGCATAATTTTATAAAAATTCCTTGATGTTTGATCACAATTCAAATTAATGTCAAGAAACTTGCTTTTGTAAGGATTTCAACGAAATTCATGCATAAGTTTGATGCTAACAAATGTGCTTTCACACACGCAGTTAACGTTGAAAAAGGTACCATTTTGTGTCAAATGAACCTCGCCTTTAGCAACAAATAAAGCACCTAACATTTTTTTCCAAAGTTAATTCGTGCAGCAATTTTCGCTTCAAAAATGAAAATAAATCAATGAAAAATAAGAGGATGGAGTAAATTGACGAATGCTTCATGAATTATCTAATGCAGAATCGTTCGGTATTATTTTAGGAGAAATTAAGACACAAAATGGGTTAATAACTTTGCGGACGAAATAGCGGGGACAGTTCATCAGCTTTTCAAGATTTTGCGTCTACTTTTTGTTCCTTAATAAAAGTTACTTTCATTCAGGATTATCGCTTTACTATCTCAGTATAACTTATCCGGCAAAAACTCGTCCAATCACAATAAGTTGACCGCGTTGCTCTAACGCTTTGTTTAAATGATTTGGTGATGTCGCGGACTGCTATTTTTTCACAGTGTTTTTGTATTGGATAATTTGTCGTAAATTTCTTCACCCCCCTTCAACCTGACTTTAACGTTGTAATTAGTTTCCACTGAAGAGCGTGACCACCTAAACCAGTGGTCAGATAACCTTTAATTATTCTGGATATAATTCAGTCACCTAAAATCGTCGTCATTAATAGTATTATTTTTTTATTAAAGAGTTACTCGACTTCATTTTTTAGAAAAAAAACAACGCACAGAAAATTGCTCAATTCAGTTTAAAAGCTGTCTATCTCTTTTCTGTCTGTAAAGACCTTGGTTTATCTCATCGATATGGAGACTATTAATATAAATTCCTTGCCTAATCATTTATTTATATTATATCGTCGACGTAAGCTGAAGCTGGTATTCTCAAATTACCCTTTCCGGTTGTTGGTCGAGTCAATATAGGGGAATAAATGATGTGGGATTAACGATAGACATAGTTTCATCATCCACTGCGGGCCTCCCGCACATATTTTGCCACTACAACTTCCAGAGGGTTACTACGTTCCAATTTCACCTGCTGCAGTGCCGATTTACTAATGACCGCCAATCCATCAAGCTTTCCAGGCGTGTGCTGTGGGAGGTGGGTGGATGGTTGAGTGTGGTTCTGCGGTTTTTGCATATATTTGGTCGCACTTCCCCCACAATAGGTGGCGCACGTTCCCCGTCTCTCCGAGGTGTTAGGGTTGGTATGACAGAATGACGAATTTGCATCTGTTTCCTCGATTAGAATAGGGGTGTAGGTATGTTGGGGTGCCCAGTATGCACCACGGATAACTTGCGCACATGTGGGGTGTGTAAAGTTCTTGCACCAAAATTAATTCACCGAAAGTGCATGTTTCCAGCCCCTTTAGGATTGTAGTTAGGAAGCATTCGTGGACATTGATCATGCCATCCCATTGGATTAAATTAGTTCAATTGCTAGAAACCTAATTTTTGCTGATGGAAGTTTGTACGACAGCTGCGAATAAGCCTCTACTAAATTGCCGTTTTGCGTAGGTCGCTTTGTAAGCAGAAAATTGATCCAAAATTAAGCAAACACTTAATTGACTGCTTTCATCCTCATTTCATGGAAAATAGAGTGCATTAGATCCCAGTAAGTAGACTGAGGCGATTCTAAATATAGTTACCTTTATCAGATTTGATGAGTGTCTGCTCCATTAAAGCCGATTAAAAGCTCAAATATGTGATTATTTTCAATAAATGGCCCCACATAATGTTTTCCTCAGATAGTTTAATTTATAAAGGATAATTGTAGTCATTAAATGTTATTTTTACTTAATTACAAACATTTCCAGTGATTCTGAGATCTCGATCGATTTAACAGAACGTAATCACTTTTTACTTACGGATGATAGAAATATTGCATCAAATAAAAACGTTTACCTAACCAAAAGATCCATGCATTCCCCTCTAAATTATGTATTGGTATATTATGTAGAAACATTGACGGATATTATTCAGTAAATTTGCTTTATCAGCTCGCTTTAAAAAAGAACTTTTTTTCTGTGCAAATTTCTACCAAACTATTTCCTGTATTTTTCTTTGTTCGATACCAAATAATTCGGACTTGACTGCACGGAAAATTTAATCCCGGTCATTTGAAAATATGCTATTTGCATTTTAGAAAATGGTTTCAGTAGTGGCATCAGAGACGTGTTTATCCTTATGTCAAAAGAAATATACTTTTGTTAGTGTTTTGGGTAACTTGGATTAAAATTTTATCTGTTATTACAAAAAGATTATTCCAATTTAATCGAAGGCAATTTTCATGATTAAAATGTTTTTAAATATGACTTTTATTACGTGAGAACTAACTCGGTAAATAAACTAATTATGCATATCTGAATTTAGATAATTGCAATTTTGAATAATAATAATTCAAGTCTGTCGCGATTCATCTCATTACCAGCATTTTTTTAAGTTTATGGAATCGCATTCCGATCAGTAGCGCAGTGCAAAGTACTGGGGCATGCTTGGTAAAAATCCTTTGTATTCAAACAATAGCAATTACTCGAACGAGTATCGAGGTAGCAGTCAAAAATGTACTGATTAAAAAAATATTTCATTGAAAAACGTTTAAATAACCTCACAATGGAACAGAAGAGTCTAAGTATACAACGTGCATGCATTCAAATGTAGTTGTTTTTTAAAAAACCCTTTTTGTTAAATATTCCTAACAATAGAATTTTGAACTCGTAATTAAAATTTACGAAGCAGTGTGTTTCTTATCGGCAAAGATGCGCTTAAGATGAAGTAATATCGTTAGTTCATTTTCTCCTCATTTTTAATGATTTCTCGCACATTCTAAATAATGGAATTTTTTTATGAAGGCATTTTTGACACCGCCTTGTTGTTTTGACTCTAAGTAACGAAAAATAAGACAGAGTACGCGGAAGTAGAGATCTATTCCACTTAATTACTGCAGCCAGTAGAGACGTGCCCCATTTCGCATGTTAGATTTGGGCAATAGTGCACCCTCGGTTAACATTGGAAAGCATCCCTCACTGGAGCGAACCTCGACTGTATAACAATTTAAAATTATGCATGAATTGTATGGAACCTGCTTAAATTTCACATTTTTCAAAACTGTTTTAAAGGAAACCCAGGGGAATGGAAGAAGGGACTAGTAAGATAACTTGTATGCAAGCACGTACACCTACCTGGAAATTACTTATGTGTAAATATGTAAATTACCAAATATAGATGCGAGACGTGTGTGTGCTGATAAAGGAGCTTCATCTACATACTGGATGTCTAGTACATGATGTCAATGGAGCGATAAAGCAGTCAGTGAATCCGTGTCCGAAGCTTCAGGCAGACGCTTTGTGGAAAGGAGCCTTCTGTGAAGAAAATCAGCAAATAATCGTGTCATGCTCGAACCTTTGGCCAGTTTATATAAACCAGAATAATATACATTCTGATTCTACTATCAGTCCTCTTTGCCCCTTCAAACAATACGGCATTGTAAACTGCACAAAAGGCATTAGATTGGGCGATTTGCAACAGTTACGTGGAGACTAATTAATTCGCCGAAAGCTGGGAATGCAATCATAGAGAATTCGCATCACGCAAAGAGAGGCGATTTAAGGAGAGAACTCATCCTCAACATATCCGGCCATAAATGAAGTATAATCAGCATCCGGGCCTTAGCGAATCGATACGCTTGGTTGCGTGAGTCGGATGAAC